TTATATATATATATATATATATATATATATATATATATTTTTAATTATAGCTCTATTAAGGGCATTATAGTCAATTAGGTAGATTTTCAAAGTATGTTGCTTTAGTAAGAGGAAATGAAAGTAGGATGATAAAAAGTAAACAAATCAATGAAAGTATACATTATTTATTTATAACAAATGAATTTCTTTTATGCAATGATATATGCAAAGAAGAATCAATATTCTTTAGCAAAGTACCAAAAAACAATAAAGTTAAATTAAATTCAAGTTTCATGGCGCAATTATGAGATATGAAGATATTTATGCAGAAGATGACATCAAGAACATGGCGGCCATTAATGTTCAAACTTCAAAGACAGGCCATGTGTCACATCAAGAAAGCAACTAAAAAGGTAAAGAAATATAAAATCATAAAGTAGCTTTCCACTAAAAGTTATGCTCCAATGTTCCCAAAACTAAATAAACCTAAAAACAATTGGATTAATTCAAGGAAATAGAAAAAGAAAATGCCCTCAATGTATTTTTAGGCACAAAGGGTATCCATACAAACATGTGATATTTTCAACCCAAATCATAAAAAATCTTGCTTTTTATATTTCCATTTTCCATTTGACCCCTGTTCATCAAACAACATATTCTACTGTTTATACTGATTGATGACAAAGAGATACTGTTCTTTGACCTAGACATTTCCATTAACGGCTTATTTATAAGATTGACTTCGAAGAAGAAAAGGGGAAAATTGAAATGAATAAAAACATAGTGGGACTTGATTCTTTTTTAATTTTGATTGGTCTCCAAAAACCGAAAGAAAACGATCATACTTTTCCAAAATTGATAATTTTACCTAATCTTGACCAAAACACATGTAACATGTTCCATTTATGAAATTGATTTTCAAAGTAATTTTGGCAAGTTAGACTCATTTATGCAACGGTTTAAAGTAAAGATACCAAATTAGGATATAGAATAAGAGTTTGTTTGTTGTTATCTTTTGCAATTAGGATTTACTAAAACTGTAATCCAGATCTTCAAAATTTTCAAACAATAACAACAAAATTAATGTGATCTGATAACATCGAGATCAAACACAAGAGTAAAGTGATCAGATTTATGTCTCTTACAGCAAACGAAACCTAATTTGACAAACTCATATGAATTGGGACGACAGATGTTGAACAGATAAACTGATTGATGCACCTTGGAGAACATATTTAGCTCTAAAATCGAGAAGAAAAGTAGAAATTTTACCTGCAATGAGTAGCAATAGCTTTCAACCCATCAGTACTAAATCCATCACAACTCAATAGAGACAGAGCTTTAAACTCTGGAAAGTTCGTCGCCAGAAACTCCAAACTCTCGTCGCTAACTGCCATTCTCTTCAGTCTCAGCTCCTCCAGGAATGGATACGCTTTGGCGAGAACACTCAACCATGGATGAACATCAGCTCCCCAATCCTCCGGTACTAAATTGAAATCCGAAAACCTCGGTTTCCCCTTCAAGGTCACGCTCCGAATCTGAGGAAACCTCCCGGCTACAATCTCTGGCGACACCGAGTAGCAATTTCCGATAAACACATGACGTCTGCTCCACCGCTCAGCGTTGTACCAGTCTTTACATACTAGAGACACGGAACTGCGGTCCTTGTGAGAGTTTATCAGCGAGAGCACCGGTTCTAGAACCTCGTCAGGAAACGGATACACCGGAGTTGATTCCGGCGACACCGCAGCAGGATCAACCGGATCGACTCGGTCAACCGTTTTGGTTCGCTTCTGATTTAGATCCATACTTCGCTGCAAAATTTCAATTAATGATTCAGCTCATTTCAATAAGATTCAAAGCTAAAATCTTCATATTTCAGAACTAGAATTCAATGAAATTCACAGACGAGATTTCTCCAAAAACTTCAATCAATCGTGGAACTGATTTCGGTTCAAGACTAACAAACAAAACCTTCATTTACTAAACTCAAAACCAAAACGAGAGAAACTGTACTACTCCTAATTTGAAAGTGAAAAACAAAATAAGAGAAATCTGGAACAAATTTATGAAGATTTGCAGTAGAAGAACTCAAGATTGGGTGAAATAATTGGGGAGAAAAGAGAATCAAAGTTGGTAAACGTACATACGGGAGGTTGAGGAGATTGGATTTACATGATGAAAGAACCCAATAATGGAACTCTGAGTTTCTCTCCTCCCTCTCTCTCTCTCTCTCTCTCTCACCAGAGCCAGGAAGCCAACAGGTAGCTTTACTGACGTGACGGAGAAATATGAAACAAGTTACATTATAGCACCTTAATTACGTCATAGTACACACTTTGTAGCCTCAAACGTTTTATTTTCTACATAAAATACCAAGGATTACATGTGCTTTAGATTAAACTACAAATTTGTCTAATTTTAATAGTTTTTTCCCAATTTTAAACAAACAATTAGGAATTCGTAAAAATAGTCATGAAATGCGTTGGTGGCACCTACAAAATGTTGTTCCACGTAGAGATGCACACATATTATATCTAACTATATCTGATTCGATCCGATTTTGATGACGTAAGCAATAATCTGATACACATTAAATTTGATTCGATTTGGATCTCGTTCTAACCGTTTTTTCCTCAAACGGTTCTAGGCCGGTTTAATCTGATCTGAAATTTGAATTTTTTTTCAAATAAAGTTTATAAACACTCAAATAGAACATAAAATGCAACAGTTCATTAAAATATTTAAAAAATACATCAAATCGTCGAATGAAAGACATTAAATTTGATTCGATTTGGATCTCGTTCTAACCGTTTTTTCCTCAAACGGTTCTAGGCCGGTTTAATCTGATCTGAAATTTGAATTTTTTTTCAAATAAAGTTTATAAACACTCAAATAGAACATAAAATGCAACAGTTCATTAAAATATTTAAAAAATACATCAAATCGTCGAATGAAAGAGTTTTGGATGCTAAATTTAAACTGCTAAACTAGTAATAGTAATAAAGTGTTGTTAAAACATTTTGTCGGATAGTCTTCATTTTGTGATCTTTACTTCTAGTTTGCCTTCGTGTTGTTCCGTCTCTTTGATATGGTTAGGGGTATCATCAATATCATCATCTTCATGCTTATCCCATCGTCTTTTTTGATGAAGATGTGAGAAGAACTAATTTTTTTGTGATATCTAATGAGTTGCTAGTTGTCAAGTCTGAAGGTATGCAAAGATTGGAGTGAGAGAGGTTGTGCAAAGAGTTAAAGTTGCATTTGTCTTGGAGTGTTGCGAAGAAAAGTACTAATGAAATTTTTATCCTGATGAAGAGTGTTTGATGGTTTTATTAGAACAAGCATGGTAAACATAGTCGCCTGTTCTCCATACATTTTCTATTATTCAGTCAATAGCTAGTACTTTGTTTAGCTATAAATATATGGTTTTAGTTATGTTCAAAAGTGTCTCTGATCTTCATATTTTTCTTGTAATCGTTTCATTGAAATACAAATCTCTTTCATCTCCATTCATACTTTTGTTGTTCATCGCTCACTAACTTTGTGTTTGCATGCAAGCCAAGTTACGTTCAACAAAGTATTTTATTACTTGCTTATATTTATTTAGTTATGTTGTTGATATGTTTTCTGATATTATTGTTCTTAATTTATGCATCTATTTATTGTTGAATCTAATTAAAGATCCAAGAAATTAACTTAATTTTGCATCATAATCTCCATCATAAAGGTCTTCTCTCAACAATTGGTATTAGAGTCATAGTGGTTGTTTTTCAATTTTTTCTGAAAAACGTTGTTATGTTTTAGAAAAAATCTGATTTAAACAACGTTTTATACCACTTAGCTCATTTTCAAAACTAACGGGAAAATGGCACAACATTACACTTTAAATATATCTTGCAACATCCCAAAAACAGTAGTAAATTTTTTAAGTTTTCAAACACGCAAAAATACAACCAGTTGTTCCAAGCCAATCACATTATAAATAATCTCAACATCAGAGTGAAACCAAATAATAATGCGGAATAAAATCAAGGAGATTTTGTGCGATCAGGTCGTGCTCTTCCCTTTAGAAATGAGAGTACTTGAAAAAGTTTAAACCACAAACTGTAAGCACAAAGCTTAGTGAGTTTTCTAAAATACCACATACCATACAATGGGCCCAACCTGACATATCAACGGGCCCGGTCCAACATATCATTGGGCCCCCCAGCAATGCGATGGATCCAACCCAACATATCAATGGGTCCAACCCAACATATCAATGGGCCCAACCTAGCATATCAATAGGCCCAACCCAATATACGCATGCAAGAGATACAACGAAAGCTAACATCTTCCACAGTATAATGAGAAGACTCACCTTACTCACAAAATCAACTAAACCATAGCTCAATGGCACCCAACTGGTGTTATAACACACCTAACAAAACAAGCAAGGTCCAACCTTAGACTTTACCCTGAATCTAGCAATTTTGGCCCAAAGTTAACCATGCCAAAAAAATCAACGGTCAAAGTCAAAGTCAATAGCCAACAATACCAACAGTTGACCCTCACATCGTGACCAACCCTTGGTCATGTCGTGAGAACACACTCAGCTCGATTCTAACTCGGTCTTGCACCAACTTCACCAACTTCACCAACTCGATTCTAACTCGGTCACGGAAAACTCACTCAGCAAGCACCACGACGTGAAACCTCCTTGGTCACGTCGTGAACACAACATGACAAGATAGACGAAAGATCCACCATTGTCACGTCATGACCACGGTCTGAGGCAACATCTTAATAGTTTGAGTCCTTAATCCATTAAGTATTCAACTCTAACTTTATAAAAAGCTTTAAGGGACTCCATAGGTTCATAAAATGACAACTTTATTGACATGCATGCTTCATGCATGTCCTCAACCCAACCTAGGTCAAAAGCCAAGAAAATGACCTAAAACTCATGCAAGGTTAACAATTCCACAACCAATATTTAGATCTATAACATATGATGATATAGGGACTCTAGAGGACCATAAAGTTGCCAACTTTATTCCATCTATTCACTAAAATCAAAACCATGAAATAACAAAGGACTAGAACAACTTAGATTTAAGAGAATAAACCATAAAAGTAGAAGCTTGAACCCTTACAAATGGTCCAGAATGTGATATCAAAGATGAGAAGGTGTTGCTTGCTTGATCCTTGCATTAATTCTCCTTATACATCCTTCAAAGAGCACCAAGACCACCAAAATAAGCCAAGGTACACCAAGAGGAATTAGGGTTAAGGGTTTTGAGGTTTGAGAGTAATGGAGGCTGATAATGAATCCGAAGTTCGAGTGTATGGGGTTTAAATACGAAGGAAACTCTAAAAGATCATGGGCTTGGGTTGCACCCCTTGTCACGTCGTGACCACCTATATGTCACGTCGTGACTCACCTCCTGATACGCGTTCCTCATTAGTCTGGTCATGTCATGGCCTCCCTAAGGTCACGTCGTGACACATGATTTTTACTAAAAATCATGCCTTTGACTCCTTTTATTCCCTACTCTGATCCAATCTGCAAAGCAAGTGTTATATATGTAACAGTGTTGGAGGTTATAATTGAGCTCCAATACTTATTACAGGTGAATATCATCGTCGGTCTTAATATATGGAGAGATATTTAAATAGACTTGAAAAATAAGTTTAGAGATCTATTGAAGAAGAACCACATATACTTGTCCTCCCACCTATCATTGATTAAGCTGTAAACTAGTTTAAAATATTGAGACTTTATTGGAGACTTCCCTATTTTAAAGCTACCCTATATTTTATTTTATTTTTATTTTTTTAAACCCACTATGACCATGCCGATTTAGCACATCACTAAGGTAAAGTGAGTTTATTTTGTTTTCACTAAACTCGTCCACGTTTAGCAAAAAAAAATCTAATTTGAAAATAATAGTTTTTATTATTATAATTATCTTGTTAAAAGGCGATATGCTTTTGATTAAAAAAAATAAAAATAAAATAATTCATCAATGTCGGATCCAGAAAGAAGATTTAGGGTTTGCATAAATTTTTTAGGGGTTACTATTAGAAAACACTCATTTCTGAAAAGAAGTTTTCGTCACAATTGTTAATAAACCTACAAATTTACACTAAATTCACAATTATCAAACTTTGTGATGGATTTGTAAGATAGAATTGGTATTTAACAGATGAACAAAAGAGCTTCTTATTATAACTCAAGAAAATAACACAAAACTTGGGTTACAAAATAATGCTACGGGAGCTCTCTTAATCAGCATGTGAAGACGATACGTAGCCCCTATATATATTGATCTTAATCCTTGCTCACCAAGAAAACTTGATTCAAGGAAACTTGATCCTTACCATAATTCCTAGTATCCTACTCGAACTAGGATTCCTAATTGCCTTTTATACACCGACTTGTGCATAAAGGTAAATCAGGAAATTACATGATATTTACCCCCTAATTTCTGATTTGAGAGGTCTTCCAATCCTAACAGCTTGTGCATTTCAATAAACTTAATTTTTGCAAGTGCTTTTGTTACAATGTCAGCTCTTTTCTCTTTTCCATTGATGTGCTCCACCATGATTTCCTTTTCATCCACCCTCTCATGTAGGTAGTGAAACCGAGACTTGATGTGCTTACTTCGACCATGAAAAACTGGATTCTTGATTAACGCTATTGCATAAGTGTTGTCAATTCGTAATACCACCTCTTGTATCTTCTCACTAGTTATCTCAATAACAAGATCATGAAGCCATACAACTTGACAACTTGTTGCACTTGCAGCCATGTACTCAGCTTCACATGAAGATGGTGCAATAAATTCTTGTTTTTATGAGCACCACGTAATTAGTGACTTGTTCAGATAAAAATTATATGACCAATTTTACTTCTTCCATCATCTTCATCAATGTTGTGACTGCCATCACTATAACCAACAATGTTGATAGATCATCCTCGGGTGTAACGTACCCCATATCCAAGACTTCCTTTTATATACCTTAGGATCTGTTTGATGGCTGCCATGTGAAACTTCTTTGGTTCTTGCATATACCGACTTGTAATGCCAACTACATATGAGAGGTTTGGGCTGGTTTGAAGCAAATATCTTAGTCTTCCTATATACTAAGCTTCGATATTCAGTGGCATCAACATCTTCTTCACCTTCTCCTTTAGAAAACTTTACATTCGAGTCCATTGGGACTAAAGTAGAGTTACAATCAAAATACTTGCATATTTGAGAACTTGTTTTGCATACCCTTCCTGAGTGATTGTAATATCCTTCTCTCTTTTATGTACTTCAATTCCAAGGTAATAAGTAAGCAAGCCTAAATCAGCTATATTAAATTCCATAGCCATTGCTTTCTTGAATTTTGATATGATTCTAGTGTTTGATCCTGTAATAACAAGATCATCAACATATGTAACATCCATAAAATTCATGAAAATTTTAAACTTTTCAAACAAATCCACAAACCATCATTGTTTACAAAATAGTTTTCAAAACATGTTTATTATCAGAG